TGCACGTTGTAGTGTCTTGCGACCTTCTAGCATTGGTGATATCTTTTATTGTCGAAAAATAAAAACTTCAAATTTATAATGTAGAGGATTCAACATGTACTTGGTGATGTGGTGGTAGTGTAAATTTGACAAAACTGATATTTAAAATATATGAGAAAAATGAGCTCCAAATTCTCGCTGTATATATAGAGGGTGGCTGCACGTCATAGTAGCTCGTGGCCTACTAGCTTCAGCTGATGTCGAAGGCTTGCATGTTCTTGATGACGTGGAGGCTTTCCATGTGGTGATATGGAATGTGGAGGCATCTGCTAGGAGGTTATAGTTGTGGTGATGTACTACAATACTAGCGTGAATAAACTTAATAACAACACAGTCAACAAATGTGCCTGACTAGGTAAGTCATGGCTTGCATGTGCTAGAAGGTTATAGGTGTGGTGTTGTACTACTATACAAGTGTGTGCAAGGTCATCTTACGGACTGACTGCTTAAGTTGTCGTCCTAATTAAGTAAGTAGTTCTACCTCACCTTGGTGAAGAATCTTGCTTCTGACTTTTGTATCATTTTTGTCTCTACATGAATACCAGAAAGAGTTTGTGAGTCAATGAATCTGTAGTACTTGCCAAATTATAAAACTTTCTGAATATTGAAGGGCATATTCAACTGCATAGTATATTCTACATAATATTAACAAAGAAATTGGAAACTATCAAGTGGGTGTATTGTGGACGTATGGTTCAGTTGAGACTGTCAACTTATCAAGCACGTTCTTACAATGCCAAAAGGTCTTTTCTCTTAAAAAACACTCCTCTCTCATTCGAAATAAATATTGAGATTGTAACCTAGTGTTGAAGAATTCAAAACCAACATTCTATCACAAAGGTTTTGCCCAGGCCATTTACATAGAGCACATCCTGAATAGGTACACCAAGGAAACCAATTGGTATGCATTAATTCAATTTTAGTTGTTCAGGATGATGTCATATCTTTGTTCATGTTGTTGAAAACGCGAGAGGCATGAAATTGATCTATAAACATAATTCCAGTTGTGATATATCCTCGTGGTATGCTTGACATAGAACAATTGTGTGTCGCCACTATCATTACTATTTATTGAACATGAGTTGGTGGCAGTGATAGTTCGTCCACATGCTCAGATCTATTTCCCACCCTAAAAGTTCTCGAGCAAAAAGTAACAAAATAGTTAACTCAAACAAAACAAAGTTCATCCACTAATCCACAACAAACTAATTGAACCACTTCCCTCTAAAATCTCTCAAGAAAAAAGATCATAATATTAGTTTGTATGGCTATTAAGCTCCGAGTCAATGGTGAACTGGCGATGGCTTACTGCGATCGGCGTATACTCTTTATCTATGAAGCACAGATACTTTCTTATTTAATTTTGACATATTACTTTTGATTTTATGGTCATTTGAAAAGGTAATTATGATCCTCCAGTACTCCTTAAGATTTTAGTTATATATTTCCCTTTTGCTGATAGGTGATTGTCAACTTCTCTTGGAATTTCCCCGCAAAAAAATATATTTCTCTTGGAATTTTTTCCAAATGTTTAGCAATGCAATTTTGATGCCTATTAGGTAATTGTTACGTTACATTATTGACATTGCATAATTAGTTCAAATAATTATCTACATACCTTTGCGAAATATCATTCATAAATAGCGACTGATTTTTTAGATGAATGCTCGGGCAACTACAAAAGGACGTGTTGAACACTGGACGCATATTATCCTTAGAGTACACCAGATGCTCATCTCCCTGTTTCACCGAAGCTGTAGGTCAATGACAAAGCCAATCAATAAATTAACAACTTATGTGTACAAAAATATTTGTGGATCCAATCATTGCAGACTACCCAATCACGACAAAATAATACTCGCTTGCAAACATGGTGTAAGGTGAAGCAATGACAATAGTTGTGGTGATGTACTAGTGTGAATACCAGCACCTCTAGCATGGTCATCATATTAGACTACATATTAGACTAGCTGACTATGGGTTGTTGTGAAACTATAATGATAACTTGTACCTCACCTCTGGCAAAGATCCTTTGTATTGACTTTCGTATCCCTTTTTGTCTTTCCATAAATACCAGCACACGGTTTTGTCTTTCCACATGTTAGAAATTTGACTGTTTAATATTGAAGGGGCCAATTGAGCCCTAGCTGACTATGTGTTGTTGTGAAACTATAATGATAAGTTGTACCTCTCCTTTGGTAAAGATTGTTTGTGTACACTACCATCCATGGTCATCTCTTCCCTGCTCGGCTCCCGTCCTTATAAATACTTGTCACCTTGTTGTTCAATCATTCTCATCGGCTAGAACAAACATCCCGATCGAAACACTTTTCTCTCTCTCCTTCGTCGTCTCGCTGAGTGCTCTCTTCTTAATTAGGTATCCCCCCGTCTGTTCTTGCTCGGTTGCTTGCATCTTTCTGTTTTCCTAGTTAACTTGTAATTCATATTTTTTAGCCTATACAGTCCACCCTCGGTGAAGCTTGTACTGTCATACTTTATACTCTCCCAAACAATTCTATTTCTAGGTTCCGAGATCATGGGCAGCAGCAGCACACTGTCATCGGTGCGGGAGATCCGGCGTTTGCAGCGTGCAGACGGGCCTGCAGCCATCCTCGCGGTCGGCACGGCGAACCCGCCCAATTGCGTGTCCCAGGAGGAGTACCCGGACTACTACTTCCGCGTCACCAAGAGCCAACACCTCACTGGCCTCAAAAAACAACTCAAGACCTTCTGTAAGCAGAAAGAAAAGAATACATGCAAATATAGTAGTAGACTAGTAGTCCAAACTTGTTTATACATACCTAACGATGATGTACGGTCCAAACTTGGTTTGTATGATGATCAGGCGAGATGACATCAACGGAGATGCGCTACTTCCATCACACAGAGGAGCTGCTGGACGCCCACCCTGAATTCCTCTACCACGACAAGCCATCCCTGGACGCCCGGCTCGACATCGCCGCTGCTGCAGCCCCGGAGCTGGCGGCATCAGCTGCAGCCAAGGCCATAGCCAAGTGGGGCCGTCCGGCCACCGACATCACCGACCTCATCGTCAGCACCAACTCCGGCATGCACGCCCCGGGCGTCGACCTCCGCCTGGCCTCTCTCCTCGCCCTCCACGCGTCCGTATGCCGGACGATGCTCAACCTCAACGGCTGCTCCGCTGGTGCCGCTTCCCTGCGCCTCGCCAAGGACATGGCTGAGAACAACCGCGGGGCGCGCGTGCTTGTGGCCTGCGTCGAGCTCACGGTCGTCAACTTCCGCGGGCCCGAGGAGGCGTACCCACACAGGCTCATTAGCCAGGCAGCCTTCGGCGATGGCGCCGGAGCAGTCATCGTCGGTGCTGACGCCGTGCACCCTGTGGAGCACGCGCTCTTCGAGATGGTGTCGGCCTCGCAGACCACGATACCAGCAACCGACGGCGTGCTCAACATGCAGCTCACGGAAGCCGGCCTCGACGGCCACATCTTCACCAGGGAGCTCATTCCTCTAGCGGCACAGCACATCGAGCAGTGTCTCATGGATGCTTTCCAGCCGCTTGGAATCATGAGCGATGGCACCAAATGGAACGATATGTTCTTTGTGGTGCACCCTGGCATCCGTGGAATAATGGACCACATTGACGGTGCACTCAAGCTGGATCACGGGAAGCTGGCCGCGAGCCGGACTGTACTGAGAGACTACGGGAACATGCTTGGTGCCACATTGATCTTCGTGCTCGACGAGCAACGGCGGCGAATGGAGGATGAAGGAGAGACGGGCGAGTGGGGTGTGATGATGGGATTTGGACCGGGGTTCACGGTGGAGACCATGGTGCTCCATGTGGTGGCCAGCAACCTGCACAACAAAAATTGACCACCCTCGACCCTTTCATAGGCTACTTATGTGATACATAATATGAAACAAAATAAACAAGTTCAATTACAAGCATTCAAATTGTACAACCTGCTCACTAGGGCATCACAATAAAAAAGTTCAAACATGGGCTGGCGGAATACTCGTGTGAAAAGTTACGTGGATCGAAATAACTCTTGTGGTATCCTCGGCAATAGAAAAAAACAAATGGCAAGTCCAAAAGTTATGAATAGTACTCCCTCCATCCCACAGTCCAAAAATGACTTACATTATGGCGGAGGGAGCTTGCAGAAACATCTTGTATTATGAAACGGAGGGAGTATCAATTTTGTTTCTTTCGTCCAGAATACCACGGTAGTCATTCATTCACGCATTACGCTAAGTCATGTTTGTTACAAAAAAAATTAGATTTTTTTACTCTTTTTTATATTATCTGTAAAAAATCCAATACGGGTGCAATGGGGCCTGAGAGCCATTAGCTATTTCCAATCACATTATGTAATATTGGCTATCATGGTTTCTTCTCTATATTTTATATGTTTGTAGTATAAAAGTAGGCGCAAATAGTCATATTATTTTACAAACATTTACATGCTTAAGTTCCTAGCCAACACATGTGTTCCTCAATGTTGTCATTTATTTTTCAAAACTTACAAACCAATTTTTCTCAAAATTTTAGAAAGTTGATACAATAGAGCCCAGGAACATTCTACTATTTTTCTTATTGAGAAACACTACTCCTGTCCTATCCACACAAATGGATACTCAATAACCAACCTTAATAGAACATGTACACATGTATTCAATACTGCATATTTAAATAAGTTCCAGCTTGACGAATGTATCATCACCAACCAGTGTATCGCCCAATGCGAGAGGTACAGAGCAGTCACCTGCAGCGTGACTGTTGGCCAGCTCGGTAGCTACCGCCGCTCTTCGCCCAATTTTTCCGACGTGGTTCCTCTACCGGTCTAGAGTTGATTTTGTCCAGTTTTTCCATGGTTTGTGTATATTTATTATTTAATTAATTTTCTATTCATTCTGTTTAGTTTTAAATAAACATTTTCAACATTAAGTAAGCAATTGAGAATTTTAGACAGTTCATGGATTTCACAAAAAGGCTCATGAATTCGTGAAAATTATTGTGAATGATAAAAATAATCGTGTATCGAAAAATATGTGAGTTTTAGAAAATTCTCATGAATTTGAAAAATGTTCGCAAATATAAAATATGTTCTCAATTCAAAAAATCTACATGAGTTATGAGAAAAACATTATGAAGTCAGAAAAATGTACACGAAATGTAAAAAATCAAAAATTAGAAAATATTATTATTTTATTTTATTTATGAATACATAAAATATTCATGAATTTGAAAACCATATACATAAAATAAACAATATTGTCAAATATATAAATGTTCTTAAATTTGAAAATGTTGGTTAGGAATTGAAAAAAGATTTGTCAATCCAAAAAATGGTTAAAGAATTCAATAATTTTCGCATTTTTTCTAGAAAAATTGGGTTAATAAAATATTCAAGTTTGAATCGTGACATTGCTGATTTAAAAATTATTCGTAAATTTCCAAAAATATGATTATATAAAAATGTTCAAGAATTCAAACAATTGTATGTGAGATTTTTTTTACAAATTCTGAAATACTCATGAATTCAGAAAGTGTTTCCGAATTTAAAAATATTTGTGAATTTAAAAATATTTGCAAATTTGAGCAATATTTGTAGACTTGAAAACATGAATTTTAAAAAATTATGAACAAAAAGAAAAATGGAAAAAGAAGAGAAAACTAAAATAAACTGAATAAGCAGTGAAAATAGAAGAAAAAATATAAAAATCCTTCAGGAATATTTTCAAACTGTGTGAAAGATTCTAGAAGCCTCATGAAACCGTCATCCTTAAAAAAAACAGAAAATACTGCTAGCAATACCCAATAAAACCCGCTAAGGAAAGTGTGTGTAGCCAGTGCTACTGGGGTGGCCCACGTTGAAGCGATTGTGAGGGATTCACTTGTAAAGGTCACTACATGCAATATATCTCAGTTGCCTCCATGTACCCTAAACTTAAGATTTTATCACAATTTCCATTGTTGCCCATTAACTCCACATGCCAAGTTAACCAATCCCTTTATTTCTTGAAAATCAATGTTTGCTTCTTCTCGATCTTAGGCTTTGTCCCTAACATCCCGCGGTAATTGTTAAACACCATCGCTCACCAATCATAAACGTCACTGTATACCATCGCACACCAATCATAAACGCCACCGTGTACCGACAACAATGTGTCCTCGCCCTTGTGGTCTCTACACAGATCTGTGCACAACGTCGTCAACTCGCTTATTAGACTTACGTTATAATAGTGGTATTAACCAAAAATTCGAAGGAGTGCACGTCCTCACCTGATCATGGTATCCTACACCGTACACGCCACCAAGATCTGACACGCCAAACGCTCGTGGGACATAGTACGCTGCAGGTTGCTAGAGAACTTCACGTCCAGCTCTGTCATGTGGCCGCGGCCAAGTCATAGCCTCAGGAGAGTGTAGCTATGTACTTCCACGGTATGGGAACACTTTTTCTACAAGAATATTCATGTATAATAGAAAAAAAGGTCCTTATACACATGTTCATAATATTAGTCGTGTATTGGAAAATTCATCAAATATTTTATTTTTTTAAATGAGGTTTCTTAGGGCTCGATTCGTTAAAAAGTAGAAGAGAGTTGTCTGATTAATTAACGAAAACCCGGGTGAAAACCGTCACAACAAGCCAACAACATGGCACCATAAACACACGCCGACCCCGAGGCCACACACCAGGCGAACCGTTGACTTCGTCACTCTAGCAACCCTTAGCCGACACCCTAAAACAAAAACTAAAGCGGCTGCTCCGGCATTCAAGCCGACCCGAGGCCGCGCACCAGACGAGCCACCTACTCTGCCGCCCGGGAAACCGAAGCTGACACCCGACAACCATCTCTGGAGTCCCCGCTCCGACGTACACATGAAAACCCCACACACTGACCCCGAGGCCCCACACCAGGCGAGCCACCAGCTTCATCACCCGAGCAACCGCAGTCGACACTCGAGGCTGCTCTGCTCGCCCACGCCAACTCTACCTAGGGGACTAGAGCCGCCTCACCAGACCCACGCACCCAGCCGCGCCACCCGGCCAGCAGAGCAACAGGAGAGCGTCCTCGCAAAAAAAACCCTCACGAAAAAAAAGAGCCATAGGAGAGCGCCCAGCCCGTTGCGTGTATGCGCCTCCCAGCACATACACTCCCATGCCGCACCGTCCACCATTTGACCCCCAACCACGCTGCTCGCAGCTCAACCAAGGAACCGTTGCGGATGCTGCATGCAGTAGCTCATCTTGCACGGCTCCCACTTAGGTGAAGCCATGCGGGATCCAACCTAGGATGACCAGATCCGGCCGCCATGCATCTCCACCGTCCCTCAGCAGCGGGATGTTCATCGTGTACTTGAAAATATATTCATCATATATTTTAAAAATATTCATCGTATATTATTATTGTTTCATTTGTTTCCCAAAATAACATTGTGTTTTAGAAAGTATTAGTTGCACTACAAACTTAATCATTGAGCAAGTAAAAATATTATATTTATAAAAAATCATGTAAATATAAAAGTGTTTTCATGTTTTAAAAAAATGAACATTTCATTAAAACTGAAAGAATCTTTTTTAATCTTGATGTGATTTTCTAAAAATACCATTAACATTTTTGTAGTGTTCCCATATTTTAAAAACACGATAATCATGATGTAAAAATTAAAGTATTCTCATATTTTTTTAAATGTGGTATTTTTTTAAAACATGATGATTTTTCGTAATCATGGTGCTCTTTTCTGAAAACACGATAAACATTGTTCCAGAAAAGTGTTACTGCCATTTTATGGTGTTCCCGTATTTAAAAAACGAACTAATCATGATGTTAAAATAGACTTGTTCCCACATTTAAAAATAAAATTAGTTTTCTAAACAAGTTAGAATATTTCTTGTAATGTGATGAACATTTTTCTAATAGATCATAAATTGCTTTAGAAAATGTCTATTGAACAAAAAATGCATGACGAACCTTTTTGATTTCATGATGGCCATTTTTTGATACATGATGAAACTTACGTTCAAGTACACGATGGACATTATTTTTAAAAGTTCATGACGACTCTATAAAATATGCGGCGATCATTTTCTTAAAACATGACGAACAATTATCCATAAACCGTGAACATTTTTGAAACATGACGACCAAAAGTTGACCTGACACTGCACCTCGGTTCCTACTCACTAGCTAGCATTTTGGCTGACTGCCAGGAGCTCTTTCGTGGTTTTGTTGAATAAAGCTCTCCAAGTTTGACAAAAAAAAAAAATCACCACGAGAAGGGCATCCATATGATGGGTTCCTTCAAGCCCATTTTTATTTCCAAGATTGTACTTTCACATATCAATTTTTTTTTTTGAGATTCACATCTCAAAATTCTGAAAAAGTACACGATACATATAGATGTATACCATCAAAAATGAGCTTTTTTTACAGTTTTATATGTGGCGTACACAAAAACACAAACACATCCATGACAATGAGTTTTTTTTACTTTCCAGGCTAGAATTTTGCACCACCATGGTGTCGTCATTTCAGACGGCGCCGTCACCGTTTGATAGTGTTGGACGTTGCATATCTTTCTCTGCTTTCTACCGTTGCATTCAATACACGTACCAACACGTCTTTGTCCCATTCGTACAAATAGCGGGAGCAAGCGAGCTCGTGTGCTCTACCGCCGCTCTCTCAACTTCCTCATTCTTGTTGATGGCATGCCTCATGGTCTCAAGATATTTCGGAAACCACTAACCATCAGACTATTGGTAATATGCATCCATCAGTCTAGTCCTACACCGTTGGATAAGAAGCAAGAAGGTGTCTGATCTGGTGCGGCTATTCCGTTCGTTAATTGATTGCTTCCTTCT